GTCATGCCATTTTGTTATGAGTGGAAAAAGAGATGAAATTTACTTTGAACTGTGTATTCAGTTTAATTATTGTCTTTGTTTCATTTTTTTTATTACTTTAGTCACTTTTCTCACAAATAGCTGAGCCCTTTGTATCATCAAGCCAAGCTTTTTTTTACATTCAGTAATCCCTGTTACCTTGAGAATCACTAAAAACTACCTCTTCTCCCTTCTTTTAAAGCTTTGATGAAGTGCATTACCAGGAAAGGAGTCTTGTATGAACCTAAATTACTTTATTTATGTTTTCTTACTATTATTAAAAATGTATTTGCACTAATATATCCTCTAAAATCAGTGGAAGTTTTGATTTTAGAACATCCCAGGTTCCATCCTTGTATCTAATACTTCAGTAATCAGTTCGTGCCTGCAGACACACTCATTCCCTTTAATACTATTTTGTGATTCTCAGGTTGGGAAAACATGATGAAACACCACTTTAGACTTGATTTTGTGCATACAACTTTTATTTGATCATTATTTTATTTTCTAACAACATCTACACTTATGCCCCGTGAGCAGCTCATAATCACAGTGATGTATAAAACAAAGTCGTCAAGTTTGTTCTGTGTCAGTGTATTGAACATTCATGGAATAGTCACTTGATGACAGTACACTTGATGTGGTTAAAAAGTCACTTAAATTTATACAGTACCTGGTAATAAAACACCATTTAAAATCAGAGCTCTGTTCTGTACAGTGGTGTATGTGCATTGGAAAGATTGAAACTGTTTGTATCCACATGGCAAGCTTTGAAATGCTGCTTCACCAACTGCAGTTCTCAAGCAGATATAAGTGTATGGGAAGGAGAAAAGGGCCTTAGAGTGCAAATATTCATGCAAATAGAGCACTGTGTAACAGCCATAATCAAGTCAGGGAGAGCAGAACTCAGATGAGCTAATGGCTCAGATCAGTTAACAGCTCGGATTAATTAACAGGTCTGCTGTCCACATGTGGACAAAACTAAGTACTGTGGAAATCTGAAGACCAGAAAGACTATGTGCAAAGCATACCAGAGGAATATACTTAAAATGCAATGGGAAATAATTTTGTAGGCTTGCTTAGAAAAAGTAAAAAATGATACTGCTTTATTTCTTTCATAGAGTAATTATGGTAATCATGTTTCTGAAATTCCAGCCTACAAATTCAACAAAATGTAATACATTCAAGAAATCAGAACAGCATGCACTTTCTATCTATTTGATTTCATGTAATTATGTCAAAATTTGAATGATAATTTATTAATTCCAACCTTGAGAAAAGTTTTACTTGGGAGAGACCTATAATTATGGGGTGGGAATATCAGAGAGTAAATCATCACTACAAAAATGCTTTTGTGTGTGAAATAAGCAAAGATGCACCCTGTGTATAAAATAGTAGTTTCATCCTAAGGAAAAAAAACCCTTAAGTGTTTTTGGTTTTGGTGTTCTCATACAAATGAGAAATGCTTGTCCACTGAAGTACTCTGGGATGTTTTATGATATAGAATGAGTAAGAATGGGAATGAGTAAACCATGGCTGGGGTTTTTTTGTTGGTTTTTTTTTCTTCTCCAAACTGCTCTAACAATATCCTAGTTTAAGGGGTACAGAGAATGTAGAAATAGGGGTTAGATTAGATATTCCAAAGATTCATACCACTGTGTCACTTCATGACTTAAAAAATAGTAATCCTAGAATTGTAGAATCCCTTAGGTTGGAAAAGACCATTGAGTTTAAATCCTACTTCTGTGTGTCTTCAAATGCCAAATTTCATCTGTATGGGCAAGGTGGTATGGGATTTCCCTTCACAGTTCTCACTTTTGGGTACAATGCAAATGTTACAGAGGAAGCTTTAAAAGTAACTTGGCTGCATTAAATTATTCTGCTTTCAAGTTTGATTTTTTTAAATTACTCTAGAAAATTTGCATGTTGTTTAGAGGATTGATCTAAATATGCAGCTCCTCTCCTCATCCTAAGTCACCAGCCTAATTCATTACCCTGGGCTGGAACAGATGATTATTTGTCAGGTTTATGCAGTTTTTATATGCTACTGATAGATCTTCCTCTGCTAGACCTGCATCTGAGATCAGTGGTCTGAAGGAATAGATTAATTCATTTAATTAATTGTAATTATATTTTCAAAGTAAAGACATGAATGATTTTTCTCTCTTCCCTCTCCCCCCCCCTTTTTTTTTTTCATCTTTTTATAGTTTAAAAGACTTGGAAGGAAAAGATTAATATAAATCCTATTGTACATTGGTTGGTTGTCTTTATCAAGGCACTTTATCCAGAAAATCCCTTTCTTTGTGTTATACAGTATGAAAACTCAGGCTTAATGGAAATGCAAAGTCTCTGTCAAGGAATGTTGTTGTTAAGCCAGGAAGATCTCTTTTTACTTGACCAAACTACCAACTCATCCTTAGGCAAGTAGAGATATCAATGCTCAGGTTGTACAGATTTCAAGATAGGTCAACTTTGAACAAGACCTCTTGGGTAGTAACTTAGTGTTTTCCTATTAAGGACTGAGTATAAATGTAAGCCTAGTTTGTAATTAAAATAAAAACCTGCTTATGCAGAACACCTTTAAAAATGTTCTCTAGAAATCTGCCTATTATTTCAGAAATTTTCTCCTTTGCCACTGAGAAACTGTGAGCATATATTTATTTATTCAGTGAAATTTGCCTCTTTAGACAGGTTTTTTTTCTTGTGCTGCTGAGTCTCTCTAGATCAGTGGGAACAAAGCAAGATTCTTGAAAGCAGGATAGAGCCCAGTGCTGTTACAGGAGAAAGAAACAGAGGCTAATTTGGGTAATTAGGGAGGGACACTCCCTCGTGATGTGGGAACGTGGTCAACAACTCCAAATCTTACTGTCTGAAATAGAATTAAGCAATTAAAACCTGGGCAAAAAGGATTTGGTAGAACCTAGCTGAGAGAGAGTTTAAATTCCTTTTTACCAAACTGAAGAGAGGTGGAAAATTTCTACAACTGACCAGATGAGGAGGTGGGGCTGTGTGTTACCCTCCATGTAACACTCATGTTAACGTTTCATATTCATTACCTCATTCTCAGCTGGTCTTACTAAGAAGTTTCAGGTGTTCTGCAGCAGGACACTGGGTTTTAAAACCAAAACATTTTACTCTAAATATTTAACTGGGAGTGATGAGTGTTTCTTAGTGGCTGTGGCTGAGAAAGCCCTGTGATAACTCTATGGCTGATCCATTTTAGTCACCCTGATTCTCGTTTTTGTTTCTTCTTGGTGTGAAAACCATCTCCAGCAGAGGCTGCCTTTCTATGGGGTGCATGGATAAGTCATTGTTTTTCTGGATGTTGTTAAGGCCTCTTCCTTTCATTGTCTGTACTCTGCACCTCCTCAGAAGAGTCACCAGAATCGCTTTCATCATTACCATGGCAATGAACTTCCCTACACAGCTCCGGGGGCCGAATCCAAACGGTTGGAAATAGCGTGAAGGGACCTGCACAGAATGACAAGAGCAATAAAATTTAGGACAGGTTTTTCTTCATAAAAGTAGCCAAAATTATGATGGAAATTAGTAGTAGGTATACTCTGAAAAACTTGTGGAAATAATTTTTTGGGAGCAATCACTTGTTTCACACTGGGCAGCCCTCCCACCCAAATCAGGCCAAACTGCAGACACCAACAGGACTGTGGGATGTTTGAAATGCTCAGGTAGCAGGGATTGCACAGTTAAACTATTTAAGTCTGCATGTACTGCAGTCTGTTTGTCCTGTGAACTACAGGGATTTCACCTCAAGCTGTGAAATGGAGTGAAGCTTCTGCTCTTCAAATGCATTAAAGTTCATGAAAAAGTTTTTCAGAAAATGTTCATTATAAAGCTCACAAATATCTGAAATATGGGCTGATGCCGTATCTAAAGATAATCATAAGATAATCATAAAGCCATACACCCCATTACATTTGCCATTATAAAGCTAATGTTCCCAAGAACTAATTTCTCATAAAATGTAATGTAAAAAATTTTGTTTGATATTTAATAGAGAGATAATACTTATAAAATGGTCTCCTGTCCTATGAATTGAAATATGAAATGCAGGATTCACAAAACTATTGAAGAATGCACAGCCAGTTTCTGCTACTTTTATTGATACTGAATAAATCAGTTAAAAAGAAAGTCTGGCTATAAATAAATTATTTTTCTTCATCTGTGTAACTTCCTTTTTAAAAAGTAAGATATTAGCTGTGCTCTGATTTCCTACTTAACCTAAGAATAGAGTAGAAAAGGTTGGCTTATATTAAATCATCTGGAAAAAAGTGTCCTTCTCTCCTTATTTTCAGACTGAGAAAAATGTTTTCTGTTTAAATTTTTTCCAAATGAACTGAGCTGTGCCTTTTGAAAAATGATACGTAAATGCAAGTGTTTATCATACAGAGCAAGTACAGCAGCTGGCAGTACAGCACAATGGCAAATGCACAGCCTGGGAAAATGGAGAAATGTTTAGATTCCAACAATGGGATCTTATCATAAATAATGCTGTGGATTGCTATTCACTTAGAGAACTGTGGGAAAATTGAGCCTGCCAGAATAATTATGTGGCAAACAGAATGCATCAAGTCAGACAGAAAATGTGTGGTTAAATATTTGGTCAAGGAGAAATATTTTTAGTAGCAAAATGTACTCATAAAATAAGCAAGATATCCATTTTGATAGAAATACTTAGAATAAAAATGGGTGGCAAAATGGAACCCGTTCACAGTGAATAATAATTTCAATAAACTTCATCACTTGCTCCCTTCTTGAATTTTCTACAGACTCTTTTTCTTGAGCTGTTGTTTTTAATATGGAGCAGAGATTTTTATAGGTTATAAAAGAGCAGTTTAGAAATGCTAACCAGGTTGATTGGTGTTCGTTTTTGTGTGGCATATGTGGTACACCTGGCATTTTTGATGGGAAATATGTAAATCTTACAGGTGTTTTTCTGGCTTGGACACTCATATCTCTCGTTTCTTTGTTTGCTTAACTATTTCTTCAGGTGTTTTTGCTAAGAAGTCCATTTTTGGCGTATCAAAGTGGGTCATCTACTTATTTCTTTGAAGTTGCTGTCCGTGTCTCTTTATTATGTCCAGTGTCAGGGGATATAATGACAACTATGTGTGCCTGGCAAATTTAACTAGAAACTTTTATTTAAAGTTATTGTGTCTGGAAAAAAAAGTTTTCTATATTATAATATCTGTCTAGATCTAATAATGATAATAATAACAATAAGCAGGATATAGAGGTAACTAGGCATTTAGACAAAGGGAAAACAGGCTTATGGTCACAAAGTTCTTGATCAAAGTAAGAGGAAGAGACATTAACAATAAACAATACCCAATGCTGCATGAGAAATGAGGTAGAAAACTTACATTTTTCTCAAAATTTTCAAGAGAAAACTCATTTGGCTTTGGGAAGAATTCAAGCTTATGCATGCGACCGATATTGAGGATAATATTTGTCCCCTTTTTCACAGGGTAGCCATCAATTACATCATCTTGTAAAGCTTTCCTCATGATCAAGTCCACAACGGGCTGGTATCTCATGCTCTCATAAATAAAGTTCTCCACGATTTTTAAGTTTGGCATATCTTCACTTTGTATGTCTCTGTCCCCTTGTGGAATAAAGCAGATGGTGGAGAGGTTAGCTGGTTATAAGTGTAATAGCTTCATTATAGAAATATCAAAGCATTTTTGGAAGATTCTCAGGTTCTGAAATGGTGGGAAGGATCCAACAGCTTTTAAGGAGTCTTATGTAGCCTTAGTTATTCAGGAAATCTGAATAGTGTTCATCAGCACAAACCCTGGTTTATTTTTTGATCTCTCACCTTTTTAACACAATGAGTCTTTGTTCTCCTTTCTTGACAGCAACAAAACTCTGAAAGTTCTTCCCTGGCTTTTGTATGAGCGAGCAACAAGACACAACAAATAAATCTTCCAGCAGCTGACAGCAAACAGAAGCTGGGAATAGTCTGGAGATGGGAGATAACTTTGTGGGGACCTTAAATTGAGTTTGTGTGGATGTGCAGCTCAGTAGGTTTGCAAGATGAAAGTTTGCTACCCACAGTAGGTCATCTGCTTAAGGAAAAGGCTACAACATTCCACTGCCTTAGAGATGAAGGCTATCAGAAAGAAACAGGGGAAATGAGTGAGCTGAGTACTCAGCTCTCATGAGGACAATAAAATAAGGTTTATTAAAAGTAGCTTTGAAAAAGAGTAAAGGACTTGTTATACATTTTTCAGTGTTTAACAGACCAGAAGTAAATCTCTTATTAGAGTGGATGAAATTAGTTTCTATATTAGTTCAGTGTCAGGCTTTGAATGAAGTCTAGAGAAAGCAGAGAACACAAATTTGGAATATCTTGATTGTGTTTTGAACAGTTAGTAATTAGTACTTTGAGAAGACCAATTTGAGACCAAAACGGATGACAGCAGAATATAATTTTAATTTTCCCCAGTCTTTCCCTTCTACAGTCATAGTGAAACTTAGAGAAAATCTGTATTCTATCTCAGAAAAATGTTGGTGATTAGAAGTATTTGAAATGAGTGTCCCCTTTTGCTATTTCAAGGTAAATGGAAAACAAATTTCAATGACACTTATGAGGTGAATGCTGATTTCCACTGCTGTTGCTGAGGAGAGAATGCAGCACATTATTTGTAACAGATTATCAATTCTATTCCTATTTTAATTTATTTTACAAACTGCTCATCTTCTTTCACTTAATCTTGAATAAAATCTTTTATATATAATGATAGTTCGTATGTTTTACACTCAATGCTTCTATTAGAAGAAAACACTTAAAATTTTCAGCCTTTGAATTATTGGAATTTAGATCAGTGCTGAAGCAAAATTATAGTCCTACATCACTGACTTTGCAGCTCCTGCTTACCCACAACAGTTTCAATTTCTCTCATCATCTCCTCTTCCACTGTGGGGTGCTCTGCAATCAGTATTAGCATAAAGAAGAGAGTCACAGACAGAGTATCAGGAGCAGCAATCATCATCTCCAGCACACACTGGTTCACATTCTCAGCAGTCAGATCCCCTCTGTTCTGAAAAAAAAATGGAAGTTTTGGAGAAAGTGTTGATTTTTGACCTCTGATGCCAACAAAGGTCCCACAGACTGTACAAATTCTTGACAGTCTATCTTATGCTAAATAACATTTGGTCTTTGTCTTTCAGAGAAAAACAGAAAACTCATGTTTTGATGGGTGTGTGTTATCTTACAGAAAAGCAGAAGTTTGTTATTAGCTCAGATTCTTCTCTGTTTACTGCCTTTCCTCACAGAGTTTGTCAGCTGGCAGAGATTATCCAAGATGGATTTACACAGTGTTTGAAACCTTTGCAAGCAAAAGGCAAGACATCAAGATAAAATACAGAGGTTAGAGAAAGACAGAAGGACGTTCAGGGATAGATACGAGAGTTTTAAGGATATTGTTTAAGCCATGAAATAAATATAACAGGCACTTGATACCAAAATACAAGTATTCATATTTAAATCACATGTTAGGGACTCCAACAAATTGACATCCTTTTATGATGACGTGACTTTCAGAGAGGTACATGAAGGTTAAGTTGCAAAGCCTGCATTCAGGAGAAGGTCGGAAAAATCTAAGTTAACCATGTTTTGAATATATTTCCAATACCTGTGCAAAAATCAACTGGGATGCAAAATCCATGTGTTCATCCAACTTTTCAACAGTGGAAAGCTGTTGTCTTTTCTGCTCTATTAAGGTTTCCATTGCCCCTTTAAGATCCTTTCTGAAAACAGATGAAATCAAACATAAATAAACATCTGCAGACTCATACTATACACTAGGGTATGACTAGAAATATAGAGATTATACCAGGAAAAACATCTAAGAATGGCAGAAATGAAGTATTCCTAGGAATGGTTATATGGTTTTCTGCAAAGTAGTAATAATAATATATACTATATATATTTATATTTGGAGGCAATTAAAAAAAAAGTATTCTGAAAAGGTTTTGAATGAAGTCTTTAGGCTTTTCATTTGCATTTGTTAGAAAATTTTGTCTGGGTCTGTAGGGGTAAATGCATTTAAAACTTCAGTCCTTGGAAAGTTCTCAGTATTTATAACATCTTTTATGTATTAGAAAAAACAAATGGTTCTTTTTGCAAAATTTATCAGGAGAATATTAGAAGTCTTCATATCCTGTGGTGATTCTTTGCATTGCTTTAAGTCCAGCAATCTTTATCTTTTTTCTTTGCAGTAGAAATTTATGAGTAAGTCCATTTTAATGGGATAGCTTTTGAAATATCAGTATTTGCTTGCAGGGGCTTTCTAGTAATAACTGGGCCATAACATTTGGCTATTATTTGCATTACAGGATAAAGCAATCAGTGCCATAATAAAACTAGCAAGTAAATGGTAGAGAAGGAAAATCTTGTGTCTAGTTCACAAGAACTGTCGATTACTTTAGATGAACCTCCATCTTTCCCTTAAAGCCTTTGTGTTCTATAGCACTATCAAAACAGTTTATTACACATACTTGCTAAGTAGCAATTTCTTTCACTAGGTGGAATACAAATCGAAAATGAAAAAAAAAATGATTACCAGTTCTTTTTAAAGCCAGTGCTCTTTTGGCAAAAGGCAGCAAACAAGATCATAAAAATAAGAATGGTATTTTGTATTTTTGCAAAGAAAAATATGACAAAATGTGTTTGTTCCTTATTAAGGAAAAACCCCTTGAAATGGTTCATCACACTGAGCACTGAGTTTTAATTCAGAAGTGAGTTGTTGACTCAAAAATGCACGTGGAGAGAACCAATAAATAGATCTATGCTCTCCTGGGCTTGTGCCCTGAATGTGGATGGGTTTTCTTGTTTTGATGAGCTGTAACCTATTGGACTGTCCTCAACTAGGCAGCAAATGGAACTTTACCCCATATCATGGCTTTTCTTTGTCTGAACTGAACCACTGATCTTAACTGAGTTTCACATTTGAGTTGGCATTAACTAATATTTTAGTGAATAAATTGGGACTGAAGAGACAAACGCTTTAAATTGTCCCCTGAGATTATCTACTTGTAACATCAGTGATAAATCTTGTTCTATCTTGGCTCTGCACACAGGGGACTTCAGCAACCATCTTTTAGTTTCCAAAAGGCAGAGGGAAGTGCCAAGGAACATCTCCTTCATAAGAAAAAAGAGTCTTATGCAAATAATTTGTAAAACTTCGATACTTACACTGCATCTTCATATTTCTTGCACAGCCAAGAAATCTTAAAAAATATGTCAGGCTTTAATAAAAGTGCTTGCCAAGCATCAAAGTAGTTTTGAATCTTGAGTACAATGGCATTTTCTGGAAATGAATGTTAACAAAAAAAAATGTCAATAGTCAAGGAACACAAATAATTCAGAAAAATTAATAATAAGGTCCTGCTCCCTACTCTAAGTTCATGGGAATTTGATAAACAACTGGTAGGTAACATTTGTAGCACACTGTAGAAAAGGTATAATAGATCATTGTAAAAACTCTAGGTAACTAGCTAAAAGGACATATTGGTGTGTCAACCAGAGCCAAATAGTCTCCCATAGGAGAGCAGGAGCACAATGCTTGCAGAATATCCAAAGGGGGTAACTTAGGCATCCTGATAATATTATGTCTCTCATATGGCTTTGAGGATGAAGAAATAGCAGAAGACATAAAATTTTAGGTGAACTTTTAAAGGCAGTAATTTAGTTTGGTGGAAAGGTTCTTTAATGCAGATAATATTGGGATTGTACCAACTCAGTGCCTAAAAATCTCTTTAATGGTACTATTCATTAAGGTGAATATGACAACCTAATGTATATTTTTGGTCATATAAAATTCTCTTTTCTAACTAAAATAATCATAAATCATTCTCAGTTAATTATACAGTGATATAAGAGCCTGTTCTTGCTCTGTTTTTTTTAAACAATGCTGCTGAGTGATGTCAGTGAATTTTCCTTGGGCAAGCACTTTAATCCATCATATGGCATAAAAACAAAGCTTTTAGTACCATCCAAAGGGATCCCAAGAAAAAGCTTGTTGGATGTGTCAAGCATGATCCGCCTCATGAGATTCAGCACGTTGATGTTTCCCAGTTCAGTTGTCACTTCCTCTAGTTTGTCCAGGTGATCCACTGTTGACTCCACACAAATTGCTATCATACGAACCAGACCAGGACCAGACAGAGCTGAAAGACATGTGCAAAATTGTTTGTTAATTTTAAGTACCTTATTTGTAACTTCTCAGTTGGTGATCCTGGTGTCAATAAAATGGCAAACGTTTTCGTGTCAGTTACTGATGTAAAATCAGTCTGAAACTTAACTGGTTTATCATCCTCTGAAAGAAAAATGGAAGCATTTTGACTTAAAATGGTGATGAACCCAAAGCCTGAACTTTACTAATACCCATCCACTTTGTACCTCACACATTTTATGGCAGGTTCATACCATGTCACGTGGGCAGTCTGTTTGAGTGGGAGGGTATCCACAGCCTCATCTGCACCACGGGCTCTGTGGGTGTCCCATCTCATTTGCTTGCAATGACACTGAGCAGGGAAGGGAGCTTGGGGATTTGTGGGGAGGATGATGGAAATTTCTCAAAATATAACTGCTGGGTGCTCTGAAACAGCCTTGTACCTGTGCAACAAAGTGCTGGCAACCTGTAACGTCACCGAGGACATTCTGAACCCTGGGAGAAACAGCATTTCAGAGAAGATTGACTGTGCCACAGTGGTGCAGTGTGTCAGTGCACACTCATTTACCTTTGGTGAAAAAGGGTCGAATTTCCTTCCAGTGTGCTGGGTTGTTATTAAATATGATCCCATTTTCATACATGCCAATGCACTGCAATCCAAGCTTGCTCCCAAATCGAGACACATAATGCCAGTGTTTCATTACATGGAACACACTTGAGGATCTGGGAGTGGAAGGAGAAAAAAGCCCAAAACAAAAACATAATTTCATAGATTGTACATGACATTTTTATGCTGATATTTTACGGTTGCTCTGAAATGTTGCCTTGCATTCTTAATTTAGCAGGAAGTACAGTGCTTAACATGAAAGATTCCTCATTCATAGTTAATAAATCTTGATGATAAATACCTCCAGAATTTATGTTAGAGCAATAATATATTCTGTTCAGATTTAAAACTATTTTTTAGTTAAAATGCAAATGGTTACCAAGTTTTTAAACTGAGTAGGGTGGATACATAGAAATATTTAAGTATGTAAGATACACTCAGGCAATGACCAAAATCAGACACGTCAGAGGATAAGGTAAAATATTTGATGTGTACTAAATTACATATATACTTTTGTGGCTATTTGGTCATTTCTGGACACATACTGAAAACATAAATATAAATGCTTCACTTAAATATGCAGCATCATAATATGCAGATAAGGGTGAGATAAATATTCTTAAATAGATCTGGTAGGGAAATCCATGATATGTATAATTCTTTTTACAGCTGGCAAGGTTGATTTGCAGGTGCTGGCAGACAGGTTGTGACCAGCATTGTTGCTTTAAGATACAATTTCCTTTAGAGGGAGCCAGCATTTCAGAAATAGGGATATAATGAAAACCCGACCAAATAAAATCCAGCAAAAAGAAAGAAAATCAGAAGAGAGATTGAAATGAAACAATGTGTTACTTTGTTTACCACCTATCATACTGTATGGACCAAATCCCAGACTTCTTACATGGGTTTAGTATATTTTTTTGTCATGAAAAGTGAATGTAACCTTTGTTACTGACTGTGGCAGTGCTGGGTTTTCACTACATAATAATTTTTAACAGTTTTGTGTGACCCAAAAGTAGAGTTAACCTTAAAGGTTTTTTACATGTCAAGGGACATCACATGTAATTTCCTGAACATGAGAAGAAGTTGTTGAATTATAACAGCTGTCTCCAGGAAGGAAAAGGTGCAGCAGGATCATTTTGCTTCCTTCTTTCCAACAGGTCTCTACACAGGAGATGGATCACAATGTTTTAAGGGAGGGTTTCATCGGGTGACTTTGTATAAGCAGATTTTCCTCATGAAACTATTTAATGAAGTCTTCCAAAAGACATCTGTTTTAACCAACATTACAAGTCCTTCTCTCTGTGCACTAGCATCTCAGTGTTAGAATTGATGCTAAAAATTCAGATGCTATTATTAAAAATAGTATACTTTTACAGAATTCGGGTTGTATTTAGTTTTGCAGTGAATTTATGATCCACTGATAACTTTAAAAAAAGCTAAATACTTGTTTTCTATGTACAGTCAATGATTTTAAGCAAAAAATGTCTGTAGAAAAGCGATGTTTTGACTGTGCAGTCTGATGCAGCTCTGGCATTGTTTGTCAGCACTCCTGGTTTGTTTCTGATGAATTGGCAGCACAGAGAGTGAAAGGCAACAATAAGAATTTCTAATATTTTCAAAGCATTCATAGCATTATCAAAACATTTTACTGCAATAGTTGATATTTGCAATGCCTATGTAGGATAGGAATGTAAATAGTTTTCCTGTCGTGATTACCTTTTTCTGCAGAGGTTAAAATACAGATAAAGCTGACTTGCATCACATGGCAAATTCTGTGATAGTTCTCTGTGCTGCATTGTCTTTCAAAAGCTTTTACACAGTGAAAGCTGAGTAAGGATTGATTGATATTGCTAATAAAAAGGTTGTGATTCTTTATCCATTACACATGGTAAACATTTTCCCACTCTTTTTTTTCTTATTTATTCCCTCTCTTTTTCATGGTATAACTCATAAGCATCCAGAAGATCCAAGAAGAAAGCAAACATTCCCTGGAGCTAATAAAATTATAGGCTACAGTTTAGCATTATGCTTAATACTGTGTATAATTGAAGCCTATGAATAATCCCATTAATTGGAGTGAAATTACTCATAATCCCATAAAGCTGCACTGCTTAATTAAATTGCTGAATTGGAGACATAACCTTCAAGCATTACTTCCACTATAAGGAGAAACAAGAACACAGGAAACTAAAATTTGACCTAATCCCGCATTGCAGTCAGTCTGGGTTCCTGAACAGAATGTAATCCTCATAATAAGTTGAATAGTAAAATAGTAAATATTTTTTGGGACTGAGCCACAGTGCCTAATCTGCCTTTCCACAAAAAATTTAAGAGAATTCACCAAAACTTCAATAGCAGAGTTGTTAAAGAAAGAAAGGATTAGGAAAGTGTCTGTGAATAGCAGGAAGTAAAAGGTTTATGTTAAGATAAATTTTGGAAATAATAACATTGGTTCAACTTTAGAAAAAAGTACCAAAGAAGTTGCAAAAAAAATACGAGAAAGCTTTTCAAGTTATTAAGGATAGACAGTAGAGGATTTACTTGCTAATTATAAATGTTTCTTCACCGCTGATCCAAACTCTCACGAAGTCTCCATACATCTTATTGTAGTAGTTGCAGGCATTACCCACTCCCATCCAGAGAAACCTCCCGTGAGAAATGAGGGGGCCGATCCCCATGCAGTATCCTGGCCCTAGGAAACATGGTCAGAAAGGTTTGGTCTCAGCAGTGCTCCCTGGCAGGAAAATATCCCTGAGCATCACCCTTTTGAGAGGAGCCTTTTAACGTGACCGTCCCGGTCCACACTGGGCAGTTCACACAAACAATCCTGTTCTGGAACTGTCTGAGGAGCTTTGCACCTACACTGGTGAAGCCTCCAGGAGTGATTTCAGTGCACCACCAGTGACAGGTGTTAGAAAGAAGAAATGATTCAGAAAAGATGAATATGAGATATTGATTTGTGATTTTAACAAATCCCTTGTGTGATCTCGACTGAATTTTGTCTACAAGTGTCATAGTAACACCTACAAAAGTCAGGGTCCTTTGGATATAATTAAATGTACTTGTCATATTTCTTTTAAAGTCACTTAAACTAAAGTGAGAAAACAGATATTTAAAGGAAAGAGTATTTTACTGTTATGAACTTATGAAAACATGTTGAAGTAGGAGCTAAGAACGGACTAATAAGCATTTCTTCAACAAAGTTTTCAACTAAATCATTCTACTGTAATTCAGAAACAAATGTCTCTCTTACAATAAAACAGAGAAAGTGGAGACAGCAAGAGAAAATTTGCCCCTAATTGCCTTTAAAAAGAAGCTTCCTTCTTCAGGGAAAGCCATACTTGCCCCTTTTGTCTGTAAAATAGGAATCTGACTCCATTAAAAAACTCAAGTACTCACAAAAGTTTTGTATATCGTTAAAAAATTTTAAAAGTTGCTTATGGTTTCACCTTTTACTAATAGGAATGACAAGACCCCAGCTTATTTAAGTACCTGAAAACTTAGAGCGTATTAACTTAGTTCTATTTCCTTGTAGATGCAATCAAAGAAGTCATGTATAATGCACATGAAATTATGAACATCTGCAGTTTGTAAAATGTTATTATATCTTTCTAGAATACACACAGTGAAGATGAAAACAAAATATACTTATATGGCCAAGCCAGGGTTATTATTGAAGCTCTGAGGTTAGAGTGAGCCTGATTTCTTTTATCAGTTATTTAAAAAAATTGTATTACTTAAACTGGCTCATAGTAATTTTTTTTACAATACAATCATTATTCACCATTACTTTCTCACATTCGAGAAACAAACAAAAATTACTTCGACAGCTTTTAGGTGACACTATAGCTAAAGTTAATTTACCTGGTACTGATGAAGTTTCTTCATGATTCCATACTAGAAACAGAAAGCACATGAGAAGGAGTATGGGCACTGTGGCCACTGGCATCGTATCTTGTACAAGGCTGGTGATGTTGAAGTGCATCGGATTCAGAGTTTCCAGGACCATCTTTTCCAAGAGATTCTTCTTTGCTTCAGAGAGAGAGAAGGGAAAGAGGCAGAGGTTGTCAACGCTCAGATGTATTCAGCTTTAGTAGGTACCTCTCAACCCCTTTGTAGTTCTTCTAAATGACCAAATTAGCTCTTGACGTAGCTTTATTTTATAATGAGAGTGACTGCTGGGACTGTCTGCCAGGACAGGCTTCATCACCAGTCGGAACAGACATGCAGCAGACACTCTTTTTGCTTGGGAATAACAAAGATTTTCTGACCTTGATGTTGAAGCATAGTTTTGGATACTTTGGCTGACAGACCTTTTATCTCTGATATTGACTTGGCTGGCCAATGCTGAGGTTCACTCCTCTCAAATTTCTAACCAAAACACAAGAAATTAAACTTTCAGCACATGTGGAAGCACTGAATGAGTTCACTTGCAAGTTTTTGTCTCTGCTACTTAGCTGTTTCCATTCTTGTAGGCCTGCAGTGCCAGAGTTCTTGAATTTACAGAATAGCTATGGTAGTTTTTAATGATGCAGATAAGCCCCAGGTTTTTATTTGAAACATGTATTACATGTTGTGGGGTGGGGGGTTTTGTTTGTTTTTTTTTGGGGGGGGTGGGTTTGTTTGTTTGTTTTTTTTTTCAATCTTTGAGTGTAATCACATTTCTTCATGGTTCATCATCATTTGAAAAATATAGTGTATATCATAACAAAGAGGATCATAGATTGTCTTTTACCATATTTTTCCTAAGGCAGTAACCAGCACCTGGCACAGGAAAGAAAATCCAAGAAAATGGACAGGTCTGTTGTGCATAGAGGGAGTAGAAGGATTCATTCAAAGTTGTTGTGCATCTCTTTGACTTAAATTCAAAAATATAAGAGGTGATTGTACCTGCTAAGGAAGATGTTATTCTGTGAGCAAGAACTCCTAACCACAGAAAGATACTGCTTCCATCTGCCCAGTATCTTATTAATAAAAATTCTTATATAAAAGAATATATATCAAAAAAATAAAAACTTCTTAATAAAGCTTCTTAAGTCTACTCTGGCAAGAAGAGATTTCAAAATTGAAGGATTATATTTACTTAACAGGAAGCTTTTTGATACAGCAAGAGCTTTCCTGTTTGTCTTGTGCTTTGGTCTCACATTGCAGAAAAGATTACACCTGCTTTGTAGTGACCATCCCTGCTATAATTACATTAAACTAAGCCAAGAATGCGAGAGATGTTTTGTAGATAGTAAGGAGACTGTTTATGGTCAAGGCAGACAATGTACAGAGCACAGGCAACACTCTGGGGAGGGGAACAAGCAGTGGTTTGAAACCTGCAGGTGAATGCCATGCTCCAGTGTTTTGGATGATTGCTGTGCCAGGTTCCTGGGACTGCTGTGATCCAAAATGACCAATCTACCAGGTGACCTGTTAGAAACATCATGCTATTCCAATACATAGCATTGCTGCTCTTCTGGAAGTGTCCAGGTACATCTTGTACACCTCCAGCTGTTATACTGTCTTGCATGTTGTGAAAAAAGGTTTTGTAATCAGAAGTATTTTTTGTCATGTAATGGTATTTATTAGTTTAGATTTCCTTGGATGCCATTTGTTACCACAACAAAAGCATGACTGCATATATACGTAAATATTTTTAGCAGCTTCAGTCCCTTTCACGAATGTGAGCTTACAGAATTATAGAAGGAAATAACTACACTTAGGGCATAAAGTTTCAGGGTTTTGTTGCTTTTTCTCTGGGTCCCCTTCATCTTTGTACTCCATTGACACAGATAGGCTCTGATGTGCATTTTTGTTTTGTTTTGTTTTTTATCTCCAAGAGTCTGCTGTGTGTACAGTAGTTTCCCTGTCTCCTATTCTCTATGAAGAGAAGTGTGTAGTTGGTTATGCATTTGGGTGCAATGAAATAAACCAATTTCATACCTCCAAATGTGCATCCATCGATATCATATCCGTAGGTTGAGCCCTGCCAGAGGTCAAGGCCCTGATATGTCTGTGTGGTGTACTTTGCAAACATGAGACTCCCCCTTTTCTCAAAATCAACCCTGAGTTTTGATCTTGCTCAGTTCTTAGTTATTCACAGCTGAGGCTTATCTTTGTTTTGACAGAGACGTGGAGGCAGGTTTCTGTCTTTTCAAAACATACCAATAGTAATGGATTGACTTTTAGGTTCTAGATTGTCCCAACTTCATAATTTTGGTAAAAGAGATTTTTTTTTTTCCCTGTGGTATGTCCAATACATCAGTATGCACCTTGCAGTTAAATTTATGTTTTATATCCTCAGTTGTACTGTCATGTAGATAAAAGAATTAAAGGCAATGATTTAAATTTGATTTCTTTTTATATTCTCGAAATGATCTGATATAATCTTATTTTTAGTCAAAGTGGCTTTTCAAGGTCTTAAAACAAATAGTTTATATTTTCTGTATTGAGAAGTTCTTTACTTCATTTCTGTGAGTATGATCCAAGGGTTTCCACTTGGACCGTGTTTTTTGTTTGTTTGTTTGTTTGTTTTTTGTTGTTGTTGTTGTGTTTTTTTTTTTTTTTTTTAATTGAAGAAGCAAACTGGATCAGAAAAAATTCACTTCAATATAAATCAACTGAACTGCTTGTCCTGCTTGTACCCATTGTATTTTTTAGGAATTGCCCATGAGGTAAGTCACTCCTAATAAAAACTCTGCCTAATAAATTTTTATTGTTTTACTGACCTGCTCCCCTGTTTCTGAAAGCACTCTGGCTTGTATTTTAGGTCTATTTTCTACTTTTAACTCAATCTTCTACAACTCAAAGCACAGATAAATATGGTAAAATGTGAAACTTAGGGAATAAATCCCTTTTTCAGCCATTTATATAGTTCGAGTCAGTGGGCTGGAATTTGTGTAGTAATACAGCTCTATCACATCTAATTACTATGGAAATGTATTCTAGCAGTGTTGAATGGTTATTATAGCCTTGTAGAATAATCCTGTACCACTTGATTACTATGAAATCTAATCTAAATAGTACTTACAAATTTATCTGTTGTTTAGGGTAGAGGAGGAGGAGGAAAGAAAGAGGTGACAGCTTTAGGAGCTTGGAAGTGAGGGTTTAGTAGTGATTATCCTGCCAATCTAAAGGGGCTCTTGACAAGTAAAGGAGGAGGTGGGAGACAAATATTGTGTCAGAGGGCAAGTGAAGCAGAAATGCAGAACATATCCATGGTTTTGTGGTGTTGAAAAAATATCTGCACCGTGAGACAAGAAAGATTGTTTGAGGCCTCTCCTATTATTTGGAATTGTGGTTTTCTTAATTTTAGTGAGCCTTCGTGTGACAGCATTACTTTGTTTCTCAGCTGACCAGGATCTAACCCTAGATGATGCTTCTCTGAGTTTTTAAGTTCTTCCAGCTGCCTTTAGTAGCACTTATAAAGTGCTGTTGCGTTGGTACGTGGTGGTGGTGGTGGCTACAACTTTATCTGCTTCAGTGTCCACAAAACTCGATTTCCTCTCACCCCTCTGACTCAAAGTGTACAATGAGTTTCAAGGTGCAGAGAAGTTTGCAGTTGCAGAACTGTTGTAAAAGTTGCCACTCCCCTTATCTGGAGTCAGTTTGGTCAATTAGTTTTCTTAGCACCACTTGTACCATCATCTGAGTGGGACTTAGCTGGTCAAAGCAGATTGAACTCTTTGCCAGGGAAACAAATACATCAAAAATATCTTCTGTTAAGTGTAAGACTCCATTTGAATATTACTAGTTGTCTGGATAAGTGTAGTAAAGGCAGTGCTTTTTTTTTTTTTTTTTTTTTTGGATTTACATGGTGGTTGATGGTTGATGTGTGATTTGGAAAAAATCACTTGCCAGTTTTAGTGCCTTTCACAAAAGTCTCATTGTTGCTTAGAAACCACCATAATGTCCAGGAAAAGTATTATCCACACTAGATGGTAGAAGGGTTTCATCTGAAACGTTCCATCTCCTGAAGCAGCACAGGTGTGTCAGTGCTTGTGAGCCTGAGAAAGAGCTGTGGAGATGAGCAAACTCCTGCAGTATTGGTAAGACTGGATTTTACTGCCTGTCTATCTCAAAGTTTCCTTAGAACACCATAAGATCTAATAAACTCAAAACTAACCAGAAAATGAGTTGTGGAAAGAAATTTCTCACTAATTTGCTTTTTATCAGACCCCCTTGTTATGACCATGGCAAAGCAGACCCGTGTGAGGAGGGTTTTCTGTATGTAGCTGCTATCAGTTCCTATTGCTCCTTGGTAGGTGGTTTTGTTTCTGATTTATCAAGTAAAAGGCAGCTCTTTCTACCAAAGTTATGTCTCTACTATTGTACTTCTATTGCTAACAAATACCTTGATCAGTTGAAGCAAAAATTTAGTTGATACAGAAGGGATGAGTCTCCAAGAAACATAAATTAATTTTTTTCAAGTCTTATGTGAGATATTTAATATCAAGTATCCTATCAAAGTATGTAAAGTAATCCTGAAGAAAAATTTTTCTGGGTATTTGAAAAAGCAAGACTAAGGAAAACTGCAAGACTACTCTCAAACCATTCTTCCTGCAAATGACTTCATTAATCAGAAATAATTATTAACTAAGGTATAGAAGCTGAAAGAAAGATAACACTTTTCTACAGTAAGCACCAACTGAGAGATATCAAACTATGATAGCATAAAAAACTTCTTCCAGTCAGTTCCAGACTTATTCTACATCATGACCTTTTTTTAACCTCACAGTCCATTTTTTCCCTGCCATAATAATGATGCTTCGAAATGTTGGCTTGTCAAAATTCACTCACTTTCCAACCAATTCTACATTGCTGTACAGCAACAGTGTCCACCCCATGGTATGTTTCTATCTTAACTTTGTCATGATACACATCTACAAAATCTACAAAATCAAAAGAATTAAAATCAGAGACCACAGAAACAATGAACAGGTTTGGGTTTTTAATCAGAGGAGCTTGTATCTTTAAACACTACAGTGATTTCATATTTCTTAATGTAATACAAACAGTTTGAAAGGTTGAATGAAGTGAACACTTTCTAAGGATGACTATTCTGCAAGAACATTGTGCCATTTTTTTCTTAAAATGAAACTTTGTAGAATACTTACAAAATACATAATACATTACTGTTGTTTTAATACCAAGAATTTGGCTGAAGACCTGCAGATTTTCTACTAAAAAAACCAGATCTCTCTTTAGATAGTGACAGCATGTAATTTACACAAAGATAATGACAGTAACTCAGATGAAAGCAGCTCCAGAAGGTGCACTTCCCACTCAAAAGCAAAATAAAACCCATTTATGTACTGTCCCAGTCATACTGTTTGAAGAAAAATGCTATAATATGAATTGAAAATTTACCTGTGTCTTCTTATCACTTCTGGATTTTTACCGGTGGAGAGTGCTATCCTTGTTACTGATGTGCTCCTTTTAAAGATCTGAATAGGTTTTCTGGTGATCACTCTCTGTAGCATCTTTTATGCAGGTGCTTCTTGTTGCTAAGAGATCAGTTGCTTGGAGATGGAAGTTTGTTTATTGTAATAGATCCGGGGCTGTTGCTTTGAAAAGAAAATTTTGTAATTTTACCTCTACATCTCAGTGTATCTGCTGCAAAGTAGCCAGTGATAGAAATACACATGCCCAGCGCTGATTAGAACTGTGACTGGAGAGTAAAACAGAAAAGTAAACAAAGTTTATAATTATGTTTGTTGCTTCTGAACAAGCAAGGACATTTCTCATTTAACTGGAGGTACAACTAGCAGAAATCGTATTAATTCTTCGCTTAACATATTTTTAATGTATTTTTAATTTCCAACAGCAAGGAAGTCCAAAAGTTTTATTCTGAAATAGGGATGCATAAAGTTGTCAGTAACATTATAAGATATAATCCTGCAGTGATGCAGGAAAGAACTAATTGACTATCCTGCTGTTTCCTTTATATTCCTGGATGGTTTGATAATATAGTCGTTCAGAATGACTCTACTAAACTAATAATGACTAAACTATAGTCATTCAGAATGACTAATGACTAAACTAAAGGCCAGTTCCTCTGCTTTGTGATGCTTCTCTCTTTTTGCTCTAGCTTTGGGTAACTAACAGACTTAATTAATGAAAATCCAATTGTTTCCAAGAACTGCATTATAGGATTCCAGGAAACATTAAAGTAATGACCAAAGACCTATAGGAAAATGTGTTGATACTATTAAAAGAGGAAACTAACACAGAAGCATGAATAAGGTACTTGTGTTGTTACTTACTGGTTTGAAGCACCAAGAGAAGTCCAAATTGTCTCAATGTCTGCTATGGGAAATCCTTAGCTGGCTCAGATGCCTCTTCTATAAATTTGCTCCTATGAGTCCAAACAGACTGTTTGGTGAAATAGGTCAAAATCATCTTTTTTTTTTTGCTTAGTGCTCTCAAGTTTAGAAAACCAAGTCCCTCAGTTCTGTTTTCGGCAAGGCTGCGTCACATCCTCTGGCAGTGAGACACGATGCATCCTTGTCTCTCACTGTCAGGACACAAATGGAAAAGATTCCTGTAAAATGTTTTCATTCCCCTCTTTCTGAATTCACTCAAGGCTTTAGCATTAGCATGTAAAAGGAATAAATGAAACAAACTAGAACACTGCTAATAAGAAAACCCATCTAATGGGGAAAAGGGCCTTAGATTTAGAGAAGTATGATCTCACTTGAAACAGAAGGTATTTAAGGGTTACCTACAATGGTTCTAGTGTTGGAATATTTTTAACTTGGGGAAGGATGGAAGAACCATAGAATTTTATTAAATGTGAAATCTCTTTTGAGAAGCCTTTCTTTAATTAATAAAATAAATAAGTTTGGGGAGAAAAAGGACTGAATTCATGCAGAAATTCTTGTGGCATTACTGTAACCCTGCTGAAGAGACACAGCTTACACAACCACGAGCCAACATAATTTCAACTTGACAACTGAACTTTTGTTCTTTTTCCATGTGCACACACTCTTCCATATCTATTTATTATGCAGGGATTTGTTTACAGTACAAGCAAAAATGGGCAGAACTTCAATTCTAATGTGTCCTGTATTTAGAACTAGACACAATAATAGCTGGAACCTATTGCATAGGATCTGGTGTTCTGAAAGTGTTAGAATTACTTTATTCCAAAAAGAGATGAGAGTTGGGTTTTATTTTTAAGCCTACCTAAATGTTTAGGGAGAAGTCATGCATGAATATGGTTTTTTGTTTTTGCAAGCCACAACTATATGTTTTTGTCTGCTTGTTGACTGGGGATATTTACATTCTGCAGGAGTTCAGTGTTGAGGCTGGTTTTGGTCCATTTGATAGTTACTTTCCAGCTGTCAACATGGACAAGCTATGAAGGATCAGTTCTGAAGCAGATGGGTAATTGTTTCATGGATACCAAACTAAGAAAGCTTTGCATAGCAGTATAAGAAAACTACCACAGAAAGTTTCTAGCTCTTTCCCATGATTTGAAACTGGTTTATTGCATTTAGGGGGGCTGTGATTTCAGCTGATGAGAGGAGTAACAGCTTGTGTTGAACTTTCTGTGCCAGTTTTCTTATTGTGCTTTTCCTTTGTGTTCCCCAGGTATTTTTATCCAAAGCCAGACATAGCATTGCTTTTGTGCTCTGTCTAGGAAGGCTATAAGGGAAGTCAAGATGCTTCAAAGTTTGTGTGTGCAGCTGTCCCTCAGTGACTTTGGAGATGCTGTGTTGTTTTATAGGTGTTGGGTCAGGCTGTAGCATTAGAAAGTAACATGGCTATTGGTAAAAGAGCTCTCTGAGGCATTACTTTCATTGTTGCTAAACTGCAATTAAATATTTGCTTTTTTTGGAAGCACCTATATCCTTAGATATTCTTTATTATCCTTGAGTCAATTGAGTTGGTCATGAAGTACTCACAAAATGGGTTTAATAATGTAAAAATACTTGTTTATGGTTAAACTACGTTTGTCAAGTCTGACTTCTGGGGCATAGATTTTTAAATCAAATAGTATTTCTTTATAACAGAGAAAATATATCTAAGTTCTTTCATGCCAAAAAATTCCTGAAACTTTGCATAATGCAACCAGAATGATTGGACTTGTTGTTCACTACAAAGGTCTATGGTTGAATGCCTCAAATTCTTCAGAGCCTGAGTAGGCATTCACTGAATTAACAAAGTTGGTTTTTATACCATTAAAAAAATTAAGCAGGATTTTTTTGCTCTTCGTAGTTGAGCAGAAGGGTACCCTGTAGGGACTCTGTGGCTTATATGATAAAATTGATTAGAGTTCTGGTTTAGTAATAAGGACTTGAATCTCACCCATTAACGATGTAGAAAGAAAATAAGTTCAATTAAATCAGCAGAAATAAAATCATATAGTAGAAGAATCAGTATTGTGAAACTAGTAGGATGGGATCAGGCTCAAATCTTAATTATTTTCATGTCCTAATGGTTTCACTGCAGTCTTGAGGGTATAAGATAAATGCTTGCCTTTCTCCAAGGATGGATAGCCACTGGTAAATCTGTCCCTAATGTACTCCCTGTGGTTTTAGGATTAAAGGAAACAAAGACATGCGTATGAACACATTTAGTTTGGTGCTCCATCTTGGATATTGGCCAAAACCAAATGCTGTGTGGGGAGTTCAAACTTGGACAAATGTATATACTTTCCTCTCTGTGCCTTCCCTTCGCTACATAAAGATACAGGAATTCGAAGTGACACTCTCAGCCACCCCTGTGTTTGCAATAATGGCCACTTGTCTTTTCAAGGAACTTGAAGAAAGACACTGTAGTAATTTAACCAGCCATTTTACTCCTAGCATTTCTTCTACCCTCCCATATGTGCCATTTTCTGTTCCTCTTAACAAGTCAGTTATCAAGCACTAAGAGAGCTGAGACTACTGCAAGTGTCTGTCTTCAAATACTTCCTGTGCTACTTTATAATTTGGAAGTGTGTGTCAGCCATGGGAACAGCTAATGTTCAAACTGTCAGGGTCTTGAACCGGTGAGAAAAATTGTCCAACAAAACATACACTGTTTATGTAAAAGTTTATAAATCCCTTAAAATTCTATCAGCGAACTGCTTGCAATTTTTGATTGAGTCTCTTTCAGTTCATTGTTACTACTTTAACAACTAGTAAAGTACAGCAGAATGTTTGCAGGCAATTTGCCTTTAGCCACTGTCTTCATGACTTGCAGCAGTGCCTTGGTGGATGCCAGAGTGCTGCTTCTAAGCAGCTCCTTCATTTGGCCAGCAGTCAGTGTCCTCTGAAACCTGTTCATATCTCCCCCATCAGTGTTTCTGTGAGTTACTCTTTCATCCATTTATAAGAATATGTTTATTCATTGCCATAAATTCATCTGTTCAAAGAACAGTGTGTACATAGGCAGGTGTATTTTGTGTACATTAGGCAGGTGTATTTTGAGGGATTTAGTAGCACACAGTATTGAAATTGCTCATTTCACATTTTGTGCTCCAATTTTTCTTATGCAGTGTCTTGTGAAGACCTGGCCTGTTTGGCTTTTCTAACATTACACTCAACGCAGAGATGATCTTTTTTTTGACTCCCCAGCAAAATTTTCTTAATGCAAACTAGAGTTTGGCTTCTTAGGTAGTATCATTTTAAAAAGATTCCCTAGGTACTCTTATATCAATATAGTTGGTTGAAACCCTTTATACTGCCCACATTTTGTCTTTTATGCCTGGCTTCAGGGCATCTATACTGCTTGCAGTTCGAACACCAACCTGATTCGACAATTGTTTCACAGATCTTCACAATTCATTTTCTAGCTTATTGTCCAAACCCTCAAACTTTAGAGGGTGTTGTAACATGTGGATGCTCAACATCTAGAATGTTGTTGTCATCTAAGTTTCAGTGAAGTACTGCTGTAACTTCAGCTGTTATTCTGGATGTTAAAAGAAAGAAAAGCTTCGGGAGAAGCTTCTCATATTGCCAGGTACAAACCAGTCAATAAGTGCCTCTTGAAATTCTTTCTGTCTATACTGCTGGAGATAGGTACAGTCCTTCAGACATTGTCACTTTTGGGTACTTGGGGTTTGGTGTTTATGTTTTTATTGGGTTTCTTTGGTTGCATCTGTTGTTGATGGAAGGTGCTTTACAAAGGATGTTCTGTGTGGGCTTGAACACTGAAAAAGATCCCTGCCATGCAGCCAGGCCTGTATTTATGGAATAAAGTGTTTGACTCGTGGTTAAATTGCTCACAGTGGAAAGGTGTGCTTGGGACTCACAGCTTGTACCCACAGCTTGCTTTGTTTCTTGATAACGAGTCTTGGAAAATCCACCTGCTGTTCATGTGTAAATGTACATTGATGCTTCCTGGGTCATTCCCCTCCTTTGTGGGTTTCCTGGAGGAGATCTGGGTCCAACTTTGATTCAGGTCTTCACCTCCTTCAGTGACAGTAACCAAACTGTCTCATTTTTGTAAGGGGTCAAGTGCATCTGTCCCATTTCCCCCAAATCACTCTTCTC